GGTATAGTGGTGTGTGCCTTTAGTCCCAGCTACTCAAGAGGCTGAGCAGGGAGGATCACTTGAGCCTGGGAGGTGGAGGCTGCAGTGAGCCATGATTGTGCCATTGCATTCCAGCCTGGGAGACAGAGCAAGACCCTGTCTCAAAAAAAAAAAAAGAAAAAGAAGAAAAAGATAATATGGGGGATGAGAAGCTTAAAGGGAAGCTTGAGACTGTAAGAGTTGCCATCCAATGGGCTGACAAAGAAGAGGAAATACCAATGTTTGGCAGAGAGTAGAGAAACTTGGCATGACACTTGTTTCTCCTACAGAGCCTGTACCGTTATAGTAATTTTTTATTAAAAAGGGCACTGAGAATAAAATGATAGCTATAACAGAGTGCCATGTGACCAAATAAATAATACTGTGCTGTCATTACATATCCCATCTGCTTTCCCATAAGAAAGTCACAGTCACCAACAAGCTTGTTGAGAAACTATAATTTCACACTCTTTGCAAAAATAAATGATAAAACAAAATTATTTACAAAAAGAATGAAAGAAAATGGAAGCATTTTGGCTAAGTTTTGAATTTTAAGCCCAGTCCATTAGAGTGGCCATAGGCTTCTAGACATATTTTTATGTCTCTGTTAAGGAATAATACTGCCTAGAATAGTGCTGTCCAATAGCACTTCAGCAATGAAAATGTTCTGATTTTGTGCTATCCAATATGGTAGTCACAGGTCACAAGCGGTTCTTTATTCTTTAGCATTTGAAATGTACCTAATGTGACTGAGAATCTGAATTTTTAACTTCCTTTTAAAAAAATAGAGACAGAATCTTGCTGTTTTTCCCAGGCTGATCTTGAACTCCTGGCTTCAAGCGATCCTCCCACCTCAGCCTCCCAAAGTGCTGGAATTACAGATGTGACCCACTGCACCTAGCCTTTAAAATTAATAATTTTAATCATTGTAAGTTCAAATTTTAATAACCACATGTGCCTAGTGGTTGTAGTATTGGCATAGGTCTAAAAAAAAATACAAAATTACAAAGATGACCTCAGTGAAAATAGAGATCATCACAGTTGAGTGATTTTTACGGTGCCAATAAGTACAAATAAAAGGCTTTTAAAATTGCAATTTCAATATGTTTACAACAGCAGTCGTCCCAGATCATGAAGCACTAATTGTATAGGAAAAGAGAGAGAGATAAACAGGAGGAGGTAGACAGCATTCATCTAATAGGAACTTTCAGTAGAGAATATCTAGACATCAGTAAAAATTTGCTAAAATGTCTAAAGATTAAAATGAAAGTAGCTAAAATAGCTTTTAGTTTGCTTTATAACCTGATCAAAGTAGCAAACTTTTGGAGTAAGATGAGCAAGCTGAAAATTATCTATATGGTTTTATATAGGTATATTGTTTATGAATTTATATTTTTTATTAATTCATAGTGTTTAACTGTGAGGAGGGAGAAAGATGGGAAAAGAAGTTCATACAACTTTTTTACATAGCAAAATAAGTGATAAAATTATTTACAAGAAGAATGAAAGTAAATGGAAGCATTCTGGCTAAACTTTGAATTTTAAGCCCAGTCAATTTGAGTGGCCATAGGCTTCTAGAATATTTTTATGTCTCTGTTAAGGAATAATACTATCTAGAATAGTGCTGTCCAATAGGCTTTCAATGATAAAAATGTTCTGATTCTGTGCTGCCCAATAGGGCAGGCACAGGCCATTTATTTATTTATCTTTTAAAGTCCACAGTACTGTTGTCAGTCTATGACAAAGAATGAAAGGTTGAGTTCTGAGATTGATGAAGGAGGTCCAGGAAAACCCAGGAGACCTCACCCTCTTCCCAGGAATTGGATTTGGTTGTGCGGCTGAGGGGGCATGTTCTACTATTTTCCATTGCTGTGATTCTATACTCACCCTGCTTAGCTTCCTGTGTGCATTTAACTAAGGAAAGAAAGTCCTGACTCATTAGCATAAATATTCAGTTAACTTGATACTTAATCATTATGGTTCCAGGGCCAGGTCATCATCTCTTGGGAGTTTAGATCTTGTGGCTTTATCCAATGAAGCTCAATCACCTCTGAAATATTAAAAGACTACAATTTCCACGCTTGCAAACTCAAAGATCTGACCATAAATTATGATGGCCACACACCAGGCCTCAGGAGACTTCAGTGGCCAGCTGGTCTTCCATGCTTCATGCCTGACTTCCCTGTCTCCTTTGACAGTTCATACAAACTTGTTCAGTTCTGTAGAATGATGAACAGCACCCTCGACTACATCATTAATAACAACATCTACCAAGCTCTTACCTAATGCCAGGCACTGTTCTAAGCATCTTACATTTATCTAACCTTACTTCACTGATGTGAGTGGGTCTTCCTATGAATTAAGCAGTATCACATCCTCACTGTGGTGCACAGAGGTTAGAAAGTTCACCCAAGTTCATAGATGGGCAGAAGTGGATAATGGAGTAAGGACCCAAACTCAGGTGGGATAGCCCTCTTGCCTTATACTAAATCAGGCCTAGTAGAGTCATTTCTATTAGGAATTCTTTTATGCAATATTCCACCGTAAATTTTCCTTTTATTAAAGCATCACAAACAGCCTTTTGGCCAGATATGAAAATGATTTGGAAAGGAAGAATATAGTTGTATTGGTTAATCAAGCCATATCTTTTCCATATGTAGGCATCTTCTTAGTTAGTGTCTCTTTCATGAGAAGAAGATGTAAATCAGTACCATATATGCATATATTAATGTTACTACAAATGAGAATATTAAGAAAAGCAAAGGGAGCTTTTTGTTTTAATCCTATTGCCAACACTTTTCTTGCTGTCTTTATTACTCATTTTAACCTGTAGAGGAAAGTCTGATAAAAATTAAAGTCTTTGGAAACAATATATCTAGGAAACGTATAAGAAGCAAATTGCCATTAGTTGACAGAGAAAAGTTTATTTTCTTAAGTAGTTATATTTCTTTTTAAATGTGGTTTTCATTTACAATGTATAGAATAAACCTTTATTGACTTTAGAGGTATATTCTGGAACAAGTTCCAGGTTAAGATACTGTAAATTGTGGCATACTGCTTTGAAGTATGAGAACAAATACTGTAGAAAAGGGCTTATATATTATTTTAATACCACTCTGTCAGTTTTTGTTTGTTTGTTTGTTTTTTGAGATGGAGTCTTGCTCTGTCGCCCAGGCTGGAGTGCAGTGGCGCGATCTTGGCTCACTGCAAGCTCCGCCTCCCAGGTTCATGCCATTCTCCTGCCTCAGCCTCCTGAGTAGCTGGGACTACAGGCGCCCGCCACCACGCCCGGCTAATTTTTTGTATTTTTAGTAGAGACGGGGTTTCACTGTGTTAGCCAGGATGGTCTCGATCTCCTGACCTCATGATCCACCCGGGCCTCCCAACACTCTGTCAGTTTTACAGTCAAAGTAGAAGGGTGGAAGTCCCCTCGGAAAGACAAGGAAAAGTAAGGACCATTGGTCAATGTTACACCCACCATTGGCTACCTCCAAGGCTGTTGGGAGCTGAGGGAGCAAGAACTCTATTTTGTTAACCACTAGGACTGTGTTTCTCAAGTTCTCCATTATGTCCCCAAGGATTGGAGTCCAGAGGAGGATATCAGCAAGACATTATGAAGTTATAGAAAGTGTATTGGACACATACATCTATTGTTTATTAGTCCCATAATTCTAATTTTAATCAGAGTATGTTTTTGCTAATAAGATGCCAATAATGCTATTTGGTAGCAAAAAGAGGGGTAATACAAACCTTGGATACGATGAAAAAAATAAGAGAATCTGCAACATTTTGGGAATGTGTCCTAAGAGAAGCAGCCAGAATGATGAAATATCATGAGATCACAATGCCTACCCCTGCAAAGGCTTCCTGGACCCAGGAAGACAGGCACTTCTGTAGATTTTGTTCCCAACTGTATTGAAGTATCATACCTAGAGGATTGCACAGGGGCGCGTGTGTGGGTCTCAGAAGCACAGTCCAGAGGATTCTCATGATAATAGATCTTATTTTCCAAGTGCTATGTGCCAGGCACTAAGACCCTTATGTAACTTATTCTGTTTTAAATCATACAACAACAGGAATGAGTTGGATATTACGATTCCCATTTTGGAGCTTAAAAAAAAAAAAAAAAAACACCGAAATAACTTGGCCAAATTTGGCAAATTGGCCACAATAACACAGTTGGCAAGAGGCAGAGCTGGCTCAAGGCCCCCAGGGTCTTAACCACAAAGCTCTCAAGGCTGGGGGCAGACTTCTGCCATTAGCCCAGTTTCCTTCAAATTTGAAATTTCTGTGAGTCTGTGGACTCACTCAATTCTTTTCTAATCCTGTTTTATCTGAAGGAAATCACACCAAATGTCCGTTTCAAAATAAGTTTCTAAACTGAAAATTGTCAAAGGTCATTTTTCACTTTTAACACAACCTTTCAATAATTGATAAACTTTAAAGAGATAAGATAAAATCCTGTTTTTAAAGAGAGAGAAGAGCTTTTAGTGGGGAATGAATTAGCATTTGGAATAAAGATGATGATTCCAGACTAGTCACTCGATAGAACTGGAAAGGATAGGGACCTCTCATGTGCAATGGTCATCACCAGACAACCTTATATACATATCTAATAGCTATCGCAGAACTTCCAGTTATTCACTTCATTAATTAACATAAATGAGAGGCTGGCAAATGTAAATGGTAAGTATTTAAAAGAACAACCCAAACTATTTATTCATTAACTAGGCTATAAACATGCCATCTACATACTGGAAAAGCTAATAATTACTCTCTAATTGTGCTAATTATATAATGACAATGTTGTAAATGTTTGTTTATATAATGTTAGATTTCTCTGACTAATCTTATCATTAGTCAGACTTTGGACTTCTGCCATCACGTATTCATGTATATACTGGTACATGCCAAACTGTGTGAACAATTTATTTTTATAACTGGTTGTTAAAGTGCTACTAATATTCAAATCAGAAACTTACCACATCCTTAGGAGGAGGCTCTACTTCCTTCTTTATCTTTTTACCCATCCTGGAAAAAGATGCAATATATGTTAAAGTGACATTTGCACATACATTTCTCAATTACCTGTGCCCTTGACAGGAGGTTTCTTTTCTCCTTTAAATTTTTACCTCCTAAAACACAATGCAATACGTGTAGAAATTATCACATATATACAAATAGGTCACCTACATCCCAATTTCAAACTCTGCAATTTTAAGGAACTTATTGATAAGATCATTGAGCATTAGTCCTGGCTTTCAGTTTAGAAAGGAGGTGAATATATTAGTGGCATAACTTAAATAACAAGAAATCATTTAGCTTTTTTATAGCTTGCTTATGATGGGCCTAAGAGACTAAGCCCATCAAGTAACTTTTGAGACCTGCAAGAGTGTTTGTGCCACAAGGCAGAGGTTTTTGTCTATTTTCTTTTACTGATGTATCCCAAACACCTACAACAGTGTCTGGTACATAATCGGCATTTGATATTTATAAACCTCATTAACTCCATTTTTCCTAGGAGTAAAGATCTTATAAATGGTATACAAAATCTACCAGATCTGAATCAACATTTTTGTCCTTTCCCTGGATAATAAAAAGTTTTCTCTCATATAATCCACAGCTCAGTAAAAAAGCAGTAAAAAAATCTGAAGAGATACATCCTGGGAAAACTGAGGTTACTTCCTTTCTACTTGTCCTCATATGTCCATGTCTGTGTGGAAAGAGTGAAAGGAATGGGATTTATGCTTAGTTAACATACCACAGAGGAGTAACCCAGCCAGGGTTCAAAGAACTTTTCAGGCCGGGCGGGTGGCTCACGCCTGTAAATCCCAGCTCTTTGGGAGGCTGAGGTGGGTGGGTCATGAGGTCAGGAGTTTGAGACCATCCTGGCCAACATAGTGAAATCCTGTCTCTACTAAAATTACAAAAATCAGCTGGGTGTGGTGGCATGTGCCTTGTAGTCCCAGCTACTCAGGAGGCTGAGGCATGAGAATCACTTGAACCTGGGAGGTGGAGGCTGCCATGAGCCGAGATCGTGCCACTGCACTCCAGCCTGGGCAACAGAGTGAGACTCTGTCTCAAAAAAAAAAAAAAAAAAAATTTCAAGATGTTAATGTCTATTAGAATAACCCAGGAAATCTATCTAGTTTTCTTCAATGAGAGTTTGTGGAATTATGTTCGGCATCAGAGCCATCTTAAACGGTATATCGTAGGAGCAATCTTAAATGGTATATCGTAGCCTTAAGGAAATTACTATAGTCTCAGTAGAAATCCTAGGAAGTAGAAAATCCTTGGGGAGAATCTACAGTGTGAGAGTTAGCTCAAATTGCATGTCAAGGATCAAAAGCAACCCCTAGCATTAGAGACACCAGAATTTATCACATACATTAAAAAGCCACGTCTTCACAGAAACTCCTAGATGCTTCTGAAAGGCATCTATTCCAGGTCTCTAACTTCAGACCACACTACTTGTAAGATTTTTGAGGATCTGTGCAACTTATTCACACTATAGCCAATATACTAAAATGTTAAAATGTGCCTGCATCGCCCATTAAATGTCATTTGCATCATAAAAACTTTTGAAATTTGCATTCAAAATTACTCAGCAAACAGTACATACACCTGGAAATTCTTGTAAAATGAGAAAATTGTTTTCAAATGTAATAAAAAATTTATATTAATAAAACATTTAATTAACCTTAATTTTTCAGTTCTCTTTTCATATTTTAGAGTCAATATAAGCATTTTTTTTCCAAATCTCAAACATCTTCCTTAGGTGCTTGAAAAGTGAACAGGCCCTAGACCTTGTGCCTATAATATTTCAGGCAGACATGCAGAAACTATTCTGGGCAAATGAGAATCTATCCTACAATTAATCTCTGGGAAAAAAAAAAAAAGAGTTTATAGCACTCTATAACCAGTTCCAAGACAGAGCGGCCTTTGATTTATAAAAGAATTGCTTATGAATAATATTCAGGAAGCAATTAAATTACACCTGCATAAAGTTGTTTTAAATCATCTGATTTTCACGTAGGAACTAATTTTTCCTACTTCGAGATAGTGTTTTTGAGCAATTGCATAGTGCAGAGGTTAGAAGAGCTTACAGACAGTATTGCAATGATAGAGTGTCTCCTAAACTAGAGAATGAAGTTGTTTTATCATGACCCGGCATGGTGGCTCACTCCTGTAATCCCAGCACTTTGGGAGGCTGAGGCGAGTGGATCACTTGAGGTCAGGAGTTCAAGACCAGCCTGGACAACATGGCAAAACCCTGTCTCTACTAAAAATAGAAAAATTAGCCTGGAGTGGCAATGGCATGTGCCTATAGTCCCAGCTACTGGGGAGGCTGAGGCAGGAGAAACACTTGAGGCCGGGAGGCGGAGGTTGCAATGAGCTGAGATCACGCCATTGCACTCCAGCCTGGGTGACAGAGTGAGACTCTGTCTCCCCGCCAGAAAAAAAGCCTATGTGTTTTATCACCATACTGGGTATGATAGTTAATGGAGGAGAGACTGAACAGCTGACATAGGCCTGTGGCAATGAGCTACGGAGATGATCCTTACGAGGGTAATACATTTCACTGTGGAGAATTTGGAAAACAAGGGCACAATGAATAAAATAAAAATCACCTAAAGATAAGCTCAGAGAGATCAATACTATTTCTTTTCTTTTATTTTTTCTTTTTCTTTTTTCTTTTGAGACAGAGTCTCACTCTGTTGCCCAGGCTGGAGAGTGGCCTGATCTCAGCTCACTGCAACCTTCACCTCCCAGGTTTAGGTGATTCTTCTGCCTCAGCCTCCTGAGTAGCTGGGATTACAGACACTCGCCACCACGCCCAGCTAATTTTTGTATTTTCAGTAGAGACGGGTTTCCCCACATTAACCAGGTTGGTCTCAAACTCCTGACTTCAGGCGATCCACCTGCCTCAGCCTCCCAAAGTGCTGGGGTTACAGGCGTGAGCCACCGTGCCCAGCTTTGTGTGTTTTTCTAAAGCAATTTTAACATCTCTGTCTGAATTTCTATCCCCTACTTTCACCTTCCCTTCCTGGGTTCATATTCCTACTAAATTCTTAAATTAACAAACTCATGAAGTCTCAGTTTCCCTTCATTGCTTCAGTCATCTCCAGTGGATTAGCATAACATGCCATTTCAAATATTTTAAAATCCATTAGCTATCTAGCCAGTCTCTGATTATTGAAATTTGTTTCTAATTTTCTGCAAATATAGACAGGGCTGCAAAGAACGTCCTTGAACATAAAATTTTCATCCATATCCCCAACTATTTCTTTAGGATAAATCTCTAACAGTAAATTAACTGTGTGAAAACTTCAGGGCATTGGATATGCAAACAATTCTTCTCTAAAAATGCATCTTCTTGACTACTGGAGCTATTTTTTTTCACGAGTTCATTGGTCCTTTGTTCCTCGTGAACGTTCAGCCTATGATTTTAAATATTTTCTAATGAGTTCTGCTTTGAGAAGATTTAAGGAGGAGTAGGGCTCGAGAAATCGAGGCTACTTCTGAGTTGCTCACGGTCAAGTAACGGAATCTGACTTGATCTCACCTGAGATCCCCTCTTGGGCCTCAGTTTTGTCACCTGTTGAATGGGAGGTGGCGGGATGCTTACGAAACCCACCCCAAGCCCCGTCTAACCCTGCGGGCACGGGCAGGAACCAACAACGCCCAGCAAGGTGTTGCCTCACTGACCCCAGCAGTCTGCGCCCACGTGGCATCTTCTCCTTTCCCAGGTTTTCCAGGTAGGAGGCCTTGGGCCTCCCTACCCTGAGCGGCTAACTTTACCTGCCGGGAGATCCCGCCGAGTAGCTGCTCCGCAAACCCAGCAGACGCCCCGGGCGTTAACCACCAGTCCCTTGTTGTGCCTCGTTGCTAGGCGACGCCGCGCCGCGCCTGCGCGCCTGAGCCCTGGGAACGCACGGGGCTGCGAGGGCGCCCCTTGTCCGGCCGAGGGCAGCGGTCAGTGCGGGAGGAGCCAAGTGCGTCCGCGATTACCTGAATCCAGTGCTTTAGGGGAGAATGGAAACTGGGGGTGGAAGCTGTAAATCAGGAGGCAGTTAAGCCTCAGCTTCTGGCCCGAGGACTGGCTGTAGGTTCAAATACGCAAACACTATTGCATTCTTCCAAATACAGGCGTCAGCCAGAATCTCTGTGCAGATGAAACCCACATCAGCCACCTCCCACCCAGGCTCCGTTAAGCTGTAGACCTGCACTGCCACGTTTCCCTGCACTAGGATGTCCAATCCGTTCCCACAGAACTTCTCATGGCCCTTCAAAGCCCATTCTCTCTTCCTCTTTCTTTCCTCTTCCTGCCATTCTTCCAATCGCCTTGACTCAGAAGGAGCTTCAGCTTCCCTTCGTCCTCCCATGCCCCCCAACCACAGTCATCACTTCAGCCACTTCTTGGCGGCTTACATTTTGTTTCCTGCTTGTTCCCTTTTTCATATCCTTACTGTCACTTCAATCCAGCTCGTCATTTTTTGGCCTTCTGGCTGATGACTTGAGTTCCTCTCTCCTTACAATTCTTTCTATATATCACAGGCAAATCGGCATTCCAGAAATCATCGTTCCAGTCTTGTCACTTCCCTAATCAAATGTCAGCGGCATCCTAAGATACATTTTCAACACATTGGCCTGGAATTCAAGACTGTCTGCTCCTTCTCTATTCCATCTGTGCAACCTCATTTTCAACCGCTCTCCACCACCCAAGCTCCAGCCAAACACTGTTACCAAAATTTTCCACACTTTTCTCTAGATTTTTTTGCTTATCTGTTCATCACTTCATTTTTCAACAAATGCTTATAAAGTAGCTTCTATTTTCCAGGTCATGTGCAACACCTGGAATATTCTTTCATTTCCACTTAATTAAGCCCAGCTCAAATGCCATCTTCATAAAATACTTTTTGATTGCTTTTAGCAAAAAGTCTCTCCCTCTCCTCTTTGACTTTGCAAATTCCATCTCCTACTGGCCCCTGTTGGTCTCCCAGTCCTAAGAATGATAGATGCTTCTTATAATTGCTACTTTTATGTATCTTATGTTCTCTTCTCGTCCTTTAAATTGCCTGATAAACAGCTTTATAACAATTATTTCTTTTCAGTTTTCCATGGTCAAATGCCTGGTGTGATTTCTGTATAGAAAAGATCTTAAGTAATGGTCATGGAAGTAGGAAAAGGATTAAGACCAAGGAGTATCAAGGAAACCAAGGAGGGAGTTTCAAGAATATAAGCGTCATCAAGTGTTATATGATTGGACTTTGAAAAATATACACCTGTATCTTCCAGCTGCTCCATGTCTTCCATGTTTTTTCCTGTCAGTATACAATTATGTGGAAGCCTCTCCCATGCCTCATCTAAAATGCAAAAACAAATAAAATCCCTTTGATCTTGTTGTTCCTTCTAACCATTATTCTATTGTTCTCTTTCTCTTCTTGGTCATGACTTTTCAAAAAAAGTAGCCAGCATTAGATACTTACACATTTTTAACTTCCTATTCACTCTTCAGACTATAGTGACCTGTTTTTGTCCCAGCACTAAAACTATCCATATCCATTGGATGCTTCTTAGTCCTCATCTTGCTTAACATTGCTGCTGTATATAACACTCAATGACACCTCATTCTTGAAACCCTTTTCTTTGTTTCCTTGATATGACTTGTTCTTAATCTTCCTTCTACTTTATTTTATGACCATCATTTAAGATCTCTTCTATACAACAGGGTCTCTCTATGCTGCCCAGGCTTGTCTTGAATTTCTGGCCTCAAGGAATCCTCCTGACTCAGCCTCCTGAGTAGCTGGGATTACAAGCACATATGCCCAGTTGTGGTTTTTTTACAGAATCTTAAATGTTGAAATTTCCGAGGGATCTGTCCCTTGCTCTCTTTTCACACTATGTGCTTTTCTAGGTGATCTTATTTATATTTGTGACTTCAACTATTGCACATATGTAGCTCCCCATCAGACTCTGATACTGAACTCCAGACCCATATATCCTTCTGCTTGCTACACAGTTCCACCTGGATACCCACAGGCACTTCAATCGTCAACACTACCCACCTAAACTCATCATTTTCCCAGTATAAACATGTTCTTCTATTTATCTAGGGGTACCAACAGATGATCTACCCAAAGAGACCACCAAGTCTGACAGGCATCCTAGACTTATTCCCCTTTTCATACAGTTAATTATTCGATTCCCCTAAAAGTTTTTTGAATTTATTCTTACCTTTCCATTCCCATAGCCCAAGTACAGAAAGTCACTGTCCTTTACCTGAATTCATCTAACAAGCCTTCTGGCAGGTCTTCCATCCTCTAGACTCGTCCTAGCTTCAATTCATCTTCTCCAAGGCAATCAAAGTAATCATTCTAAGATGCAAATTTAATTTGTCTGTGTCCTTGCTGGCTCCAATAGCTCTAACACACAAATGATGAAATGCAACAAGATTCTTAAATTGACACTCAAGATCTTTTCTTGTTCTGACTGCTTCCTACTACAATAGCTTCTGTCATTGTTCAAAAATATAGCAAACTGCTCAGCATTCTCCAAGTACACCATGATATTTTGTGCCCTTCACTCCCCTAATCACCCTGAAACCACTTATTCATCTTTCAAATTTTAATTCAGTCATCATTTCCTCCAAAAAGTCTTTATTAGCTTTTTCAGACAGTGTGAAGCATTTCTCGTTTGTTGCTATAGCTGTACCTTACGCTTGCTCTGTTGTTTTCACAAGATATTGTAATTTATTTGTTTACATGTGTGTCTCCCCACCTCGGCTGTTTCTAAATGTTTTTTAAGTAACTAAAGTTTTTTTAATACTATGAGACAGGCAATTATGAAATGGTTAAAGCGCACCATTAAATCCACACCATAATCCTGTGAGGTCTGAATGAAGTACAGGGTGATTAGCAGAAGGTCACTGTACTAGTAAATGGTAAAGACAGGACTTGAACTAAAGTCAGCTTGACTTTTATAGCCATGTTCTGCACCAATACATCATACCAGCCCATCCTGAAATTACAGTGTTATAACAAGTTGTGATGTGTTTTTATTAAATAATTAAAACTACTGCTTTAATTCTTGTTTTATAGAGTTAGTCTTTGCTGAGTATGTCAAATTTGGGCAGGGGATCATATTTATTTTAACATATACAGTTGGATGGGTTTGGACAAGGGTTTGCAGTTGTGTAACCATCACCCCAGGGAAGTTTCAGAGACCATCTCCATCATCCCAAATTTCCCTTATGCCTCTTTGAAGTCAAATCTCTCCCTCTAACCAACTTCCCTGGGAACAACTGCTCTGTTTTCTCTCCCTATCATTTTGACTTTTCCAGAATGTCTTATAAACAGAACCATGCAATCTGCTGCCTTTTGTGTCTGGCTTCTTTAATTTAGCATAGTTTAGGAGATTTGTCCATGGTGTTGCATTTATCCATAGCTTGTCTCACTTTATGGCTGAGTGGTATTGCACTGCATAGATGTACAATATCCATCTGCTGATTGATGGACATTCTGGTACTTTCCAGTTTAGGACTGTTATAAATAATTCTGGTTAAATATACAAGGTTTTGTGTGAACATGTTTCTCCTTTTTGGAAAAATACCCAGGAGTGGAATTTCTGGGTCTTATGCCATGTGTATGCATAATGTTATACCAACCTGCCAAATTGCTTTCCAAAGGAATTATACTGTATTTGCATTCCCACCAGTAAAAATGAGAGAAGCCATTGCTTCATATGCTCTACAGCACTTGATGTTGTCAGTCCTTTTAATTTTAGCCATTTTAGTGGGAGTGCAATGGTATCTCCCTCTGGGTTTAATTTGCATTTCCTTCATGACTAGTGATGATGATCCCATTCTATGTGATTGTTAGCCATTTCTGTACCTTCTTTTGTGAAGTACCTGTTCAAATATTTTTCCTACTTTTAATTGGGTTGTTTGTATTCTTGAATTGTAAGAGTTCCTATGTATCCTGGATACAGGTCATCTGTCAGATCTCCATTTTGGACATATTTTCTGACAGTATGTGGCTTATCTTTTTGTTTCTTAAAAAATGTCTTTTGTACACCAGACGCTTTCGGTTTTGATAAAGTTCAATTCATTCATTGTTTCAAAGGTTAGTCTTGTTTTGTTTTATTTCATTTTGCTTTTGCCCTACCTAAGAAATCTTTGCCGAGTCCAAAGGGAAAAAAATAGACTTCCTTTTATGTTTTGTTTTAGAAGTCTTCCAGTTTTGATTCTTACATTTGGGTCTATGATCCATGTCACATTAGTTGCTGTATATGGTATGAGATGGTTTGAGAATCACAATTTTGCATATGAATGTCCAAATGTTCTAGCACCACTTGAAGAAAACACTGTTCTGTATGTATTGAATTACTTTGGCATCTTTGTCAAGAATAAATGTACCCTTTGTAAGTGGATCTATTACTGGACTCTATTCTGCTTCCTTGATCAATATATCTGTCCTCACACTAATATCACCACCTTTTGCTTATTGTAGCTTACAGAAAGCCTTTAAATCAAATAACAGGAGTTATCAAAAAGAACAAATTTGTTATTTTTCAAATTGTTTTGGCCATTGTATGTCCTTTGCATTTTCCTACATGTTTTAAAATTAGCTTGTTAATTTTCATCAGAAAATCTGCTGGAATTTTGATAAGAATTACATTTAATCTATAGATAAATTCAGGAAGAATTGACATCTTAATAATATTGAGTTTTCCAAATTATTAACATAGTATAGCTCCTTATTTATTTGAGTATTTTAAAATTTATTTCTTCATGTGCAGGTCTCCCACATTTTTAAAAGCTTGCATCTGAGTATTTTTGTAAGTTCTTATGGTATTGTAAAGAGTATTTTTTAAATTTCAATTTTGAAATG